ATTACTGTGATATTGAATGGTTTGCCTTGGAAACGAACAGAGATCATTCCGTCATTTTTGAGACTGCATCCAAGTACTGCATTTCGGACTCTTTTGTTGACTGTGATGGTGACTCCATTTCTTCTAAGGGATTCCTGCCCACAGTAGTAGATATAATGGTCATCTGAGTCAAATTCAACCGTTCCAGTCCATTTTAGTTCCCTGATTCCTAGAATGTTGACGTTCACTCTTGCCATCTCCTGTTTGACCACTTCCAACTTGCCCTAATTCATGGACCGAACATTCCAGGTTCCTATGCAATATTTCTCTTTACAGCATCGGACCTTGCTTCTATCACCAGTCATATCCACAACTGGGTATTTTTTTTGCTTTGGCTCCATCCCTTCATTCTTTCTGAAGTTATTTCTCCACTGATCTCCAGTAGCATATGGGCACCTACCAACCTGTGGAGTTTCTCTTTCAGTATCCTATCATTTTGCCTTCTCATACTGTTCATGGGGTTCTCAAGGCAAGAATACTGAAGTAGTTTGACATCCCCTTCTCCAGTGGACCACATTCTGTCAGATCCTCCACCATGGCTTGACCGTCTTGGGTGGCCCCACACGGCATGGCTTAGTTTCATTGAGTTAGACAAGACTGTGGTCCTATGATCAAGTTGGCTATTTTTTTGTGATTATGGCTTTATTATGTCTGCCCTCTGATGTCCTCTCGCAACACCTACCATCTTACTTGGGTTTTTCTTACGTTGGACGTGGGGTATCTCTTCATGACTGCTCTGGCAAAGCACAGCCGTTGCTCCTTACCTTGGATGATGAGTATCTTCTCACTGCCACACCTCCTGACCTTGAATGTAGAGTAGCTCCTCTTGGCCCTCCTGTGCCTGTGCAGCAGCCACTCTGTAGCAAAATGCAAGGTTAAAGAAATTAAAACTACCATTATAGTCTTTCAGTTATAAAATATATCTGCAAATTTTAAGAAGAAATTGAATACTTACTTGCAAGTTTCATTCCAGAGATAGATCCTTCACTGCATCTAGATATAAAACACATATCCTAAGATCCTTTCATCTCATGATATTACCAGTTCTATAGAAACCATTCCGTACTATTCCACAATACAGACCTTCACTGTAACATCTGGCACTAATTGGGAAGATTATTAGAATAAAGAAAACAAATTATTTTTAGAAAGAGATATAAGATATCTATACTGTAATGACCTTTTGTCATGCATCCATATATGTCAAGAAGTAGGAGAAATTTTTCTTGCAAACATCTTAGGAATGTACAAAAAATTGATTTGAATGTACCCAAATAGCTTCTTTATATTAAAGAATTTAGAAAATTTAGAAATATAACCATTTATAGCAACATGGAGATTCAACCAGTCCATCCTAAAGAAAATCAATCCTGAATATTCATTGGAAGGACTGTTGCTGAAGTTGAAACTCCAATACTTTGGCCACCTGATGTGAAGAACTGACTCATTTGAAAAGACCCTGATGCTGGGAAAGATTGAAGGCAGGAAGAGAAGGGGGCAGCAGAAGATGAGATGGTTGGATGGCATCACCGACTCAATGGACTTGAGCTTGAGTAAACTCTGGGACTTGGTGATGGACAGGGAGGCCTGGTGTGCTGCAGTCCTTGGGGTCACAAAGAGTTGGATATGACTGAGCGACTGAACTGAACTGAACTGACAGCAACATGAATAGACTTTAATTTAACCAGAACATTTGATCAGCTATCTTTTCAGTTTCATCCAACATGTGGATAATTAACTTATAGCAGGACTTTGATACAATCAGTATGTGAGGCTTTGTCATGGAATATTTACCAAAGTCCTGACTTACCATTTTTAAATACTTACAACAATTCCACACATCAAGAAATATCAAAGCATGAAAGTACTTGCTTTAATGTGAATATGAAAAAGAAAGAATAAAGACATGAAGTGGAAGGAAGGGCAAAATTTATTTCAATATTTTTAACTGCTGAGGAGGTGGAAGTTTGAAATTTAAGCTTGCAATCAAACACTACACCATAAGTCTTTGAATGGCTTACCATGCCTAAAACTTTTCTTCTTGAATGCTTGTGGTGTGGTGAATCTATCTGAGACTTATTCTAGAACATAAGACCTGGACAAACAGGTATACTCTATAGGGTTATTAGATATTTCATAAATATAAATTACATGGGCAGAGGCTATTAAATGGTTTCTAAATAATTACTATTGTAAGTCTATTATTAAAAGGCATTACTATAAGAAACATATTTATTATTTGACCTAATGACTAATTAGTGATCTCTGTCTTATGCCCAGTATAGGTTTAGATGTCAGAGATTCCACTGTGCATGGGAAAGTTATGGTCAAGTCAAAATGGAGCTGGCATTATATTAACTGCAGGCAGTGAAGCATATCAACTGCAAATTTACAGTTTATGATGTGCTAGGATGTAAAAACGTTATTGCCTAGAAGGATATTGGGAAGCCTATTGTGTAATAGGTTTGCCAGAAGAGGATTCTCAACAAGGATATATTTACTCTGGATTTCTGGAATGAAAAGTCAGCTACATAGAGAATAGAAGAAAGAAAGTTACAGACATATGGAAAAACAAGTTCAAGTTCACTGAAACTCTCCAGTCCCCCCAGTTTTCTCTCTTCTAGGAACTCTTGAGAGAACAATATACCTGAATCACTCACAGTAAAGGAAGAACATAATAATGAATTTGAGTAAGAGTGCACAGACCATATCAAGGAATATCTTACAAATTTTCATAAAGAATTTTTATATTTTTTCAAATTCAGGGAAAAGTTATTTAATTGTGGAGATCACATAACTAATTTCCATATTTATATTTTAAAAAATTGTTTAACTTCTGAGTCAAGAAAGAATAGGAACAAGGAACAGTGACAGAGTGGTTCAGGATTAAAAGTGGCATAATTTGGCTCAGCAAAATGACAGAAAAAATGGAGAGACATGAACACATTCAAAATACTTTTGGTGTAGAAGAAGTAGCTTAGCATTTAGACTTGTAATCATGTATCATACCATGTGTCTCTGATAATGGGTCAGGTAAATCCAAACATACGTAAGTAATCACAGAGGACTCCAACAAAAGTTCTGGATTTTGCCACTAGGTGAATGGTGATATCATTTACTCTGATGGGAAATGCTAGACGAAGAATAGATTAAAAGAAGGAAATCAAATATTTTAACATAGTTATGCTAAGTTGAGGTTCCTAGAAAGCTTCCAAGTAGAGTCATCAAATAGGCAGATGGATACATGAGTTTGGAAAATTCAGGAAAGGACTGGGATGGGAATATTGACTTAAAATTATCATCATTTATTCAACTTTTATAAACATAGATATAAATAATGTTACTAAGTGATAAACTATATAGAAAGACATTGTGCTCATAATATAGCCTTAAACCTTGAATTAGAATAGAAAGGTAAGAACTCAGCAAAAGACACTGGAAAGTTAGTCTGTGAGTTAGGAAATTGAATGGGCTAATATATATATATATTTTAAATATATATATATAATATTTAATATTGGAGTTAAAAGTTGAATCCATTGAAGGTCTAGGCACTAGATGTTGAGAACATTTTCAAATGAGTGATTGTATTAATGAACGTTGGGTTATGAACTAAACAACAACAAAAAAATACAGTGAATAAAATGTCTTCATGAGGTGAATATTCGAGTCAAGGATATTCAAGGTCACTGAGATGGGAGAATAGGATGTGTACATCAGAGATCAAGAAGTTTGGAAATAAAATTCAATAAGGAATGGAAAAGAAAGGGAATGTTAGATTCTTCTCAAAGCAAGTATGCTGGATATTGTTTTGAAATATATGTTTTTGAGTCAGTTTTTGTACCGAACTTTCCATTTCTCCTAACCTGCTACCCTGCAGTCCAGTAATTTAAGTAAGAAATATTTTGACATCCAATTGACTGGGTGAAAGGTGTCAGATTGGAAAGTAAAACTAGTCTTTAAGGTTTCCTAGCTTTCACTATCAAAAGTTGAAGAGCTAAGATAGAATTTTTTGTTGGGCAGGTAAGAAGGAGAAAGAGCAAGGTTAAATTCTTGAAGGACTAAGCACAAGGCTTTCTTCATTTACAAAAGGAGATTCCCTCAGGCTTGGTGGAAGGGTGTAAAATGTGTGGCTCCAGAAGGAAAACAGACCTACTTAAGGAGAAAGATCCAAGGTGATAAGTCAAGGAGTGTCAGAACAGAAGCTAGCACACAGAAGTTTTCTGTGCCTCTAGCACAATGGAAGAAGCACCATGTGGAAAGCAACAAATAAAACCTCAGAAGCACGTATGGACAGGTGTGCACATCCTTCCCCATATTCTTGACAGGAAATGTTTTCCTTGGAGCATGATACAACACTGGAGGGTGGAATTGGAAAAAAAGAAGCCAATAATCTGCATTTGATCAGTTCCACAGAATGGTAATTCAGATGTCAAACGGGGTAAAAAAAAAAAAAAAAAAAAAAAACAACCTTTTTGTGCATTCTTTACTTTGTGGCTTAATATTCAAAACTTCATGAATATAGCTTCCTACCCACCCCTTTGGGATGTCCCAGGTGGCACAGTGGTAAAGAATCTGCTTGTCAATGCAGATGAAAGAGACATGGGTTTGATTGCTGGGTCAAGAAGATCCCCTGAAATAGGAAATGACAACCCATTCTAGTATTCTTGCCTGTAAAGTTCTATGGACAGAAGAGCCTGGCAGGCTATAGTCTATGGGGCCGCAAAGAGTGGGACTTGACTGAGCAAGTATGCATCACCAGTTTGAAGCTGGGTAACCTGGATAAAGGTTATTCTTCATTCTCCCTCTTAGAGTTAATTTATTTACAGTTGCAGCAAGGCTGAAATGCATGCCAACTGCATAGATCAGGTTATGGAAATTGAGAGAAGTCTTAATTCTTTCTTCTGTTTAGAAGGGCATTCATAAAGAATTGTTATTTCACCATTAATGGGAACAAATGTAGCCATTAGGATACACTGGAAAAAAAAACAAATATATATATATATACATACATATATATATATATATATAAAGTAGTTCTCTAGGGAAAGTTTATTTGCAAGAGATGCTATTTTTGCTCTCTCAAAACTTTAGTGAAAAATGTGAAAACAGAATGTCCTCAAAAACCCAAACCAAGAATTATTCAAAAGAAACTTGACTCATCAGAGCACAGCAAGATCATTATATGCTATTGTAGGAGAGAATTCATTCCAGAAGTAAAAGAAAAAACTTAGAAAAGCTCAACAATGGAGTACAAGATTGTGAGGAAGCCTTTAATTTTTAAATGAACTTTTAGTTTTAGCTTAGAGAGAGCTTAAATAGAGCCACTCTATAGGAAC